CTGGACAGCTAAAATACAGCAAGTTGGCACAGTAGGGGGTACAGCTGGTGGTGCATTTGCAAGTCATCTCACTCAGCCAACCCATGGCACCTGCTGGGGCTGTCCTGTAACCTCCTGTCAGCGAGCTTTCAACACTTCACGTGGCCTCAAGGTGCACCTGGCCTGGCACAGGTACTGTGGTGATACGACTTAGAGGCGAATGGCGGGTATTGGTACATAGACACACACGTTCACATGTGGGGAGCTGTAGTGTAGTGGTTAGCGCGCTGCGCTACAAACCCAGCGATCCGAATTCGATTCCCGCTCACGGCCAACATCAGTGACGATTATCTGAATGCGTCCTGGGCCTCCACTATGTCGACTCAGCCTCAAATGAGTACCTGGTGTGGTGTGTTAACATCTACACTGGGGAGACAAAGGCAGCAGGGCGTGGTGCTGGCCACCCACCCTCTCGTGTGCCGTGCCGGCCTTCGTAGGCGCTCGCTAACAGCACTTTCCCCAACAGTCTGTGAAGGCTACACGGGGGATCTTTCTCCTTGTTACGTGTAATATGTGGGGGGCAGTCTAGCGGTTAGCGGGGCCGCGTTACGAACCCGGCGACCAGAGTTCGAGTCCCGCTCACGGCCAACATCGGTGACGAATGTCTGAAACGGTCCTGGTTCTCGCCGCCTAGGTCAACCCAAATGAGAAGCTGGTGCTGTGTGTGGTAAACATCGACAAAACGGAGACAAAGGCGGCTGGGCATTGTGCTGCCCAACCGATCCCCAGCATGTGCCGTAACCGGCCTTCATAGCTGTTCGCTCGCAGCACTTGCTCCAAAAGTCTGTTTTTTTTCTATTGCAACAAAACGCGAGCCTGTACAATACGCCGATGGACTTTGGAGAGAGGGGGGGGGGGACAGAAAATCCGCGAAAAATCTAATTCGGCACGACGGGAGAGTAGCCCCAAAAAGTATATTAAGGCTATCGGGGAGCTCTTTGTCTCTGTATAATATACAACACCAAGCTTGTCTTGGCTGTATTAAGGCCTGACATTTGCATCACATTCAAACGCACAGCTGCAAATTGCAAATGCTGTTAAAACAAGTTGGGAGGGGATATATTCACGAAACGTCACGCTTGCTGACCACAGTGTTTAAAGTGGTAGTGTGTGTAATAAATATTGAACCGTTTTATTGGGAGGCCAGGGACACTGAAACACAACTGATACTGGCAAGTTCTTCAGCCAAATGCTGTATGTATGCTGAACGTCTTTTGCACCGTACATAGCCAACCATGCTAAACGAATGTGCGAATGCTATAATACCAGTCCCCTGCCCTGATATCTCTCGAGTCTTATTCCCCCTGTGCACACGTGATTGAGCAACAACGCGTGTTATCAGTTGCCCACATTATTATCATCATCATCATCACACCCCTGCCTTGCTCCCGGACTAAATCGGCAACGACCAACTTACGTTTGGAACGCGTCCCACAATCGTAGCAAACGTCTCATAGCGCAGAATTACCCCAGGCAGAACCGGAGGGACCGGAAGGATTGAGGGGAGACTTTAAACAGAAAGAGAAACGATGAAACATTTATTTTTATTTTACCAGGTAAGACCCACTGAGCTATGTAGTTCTTTTTCAGAAGCGACCTGGCCACAAGTAATAGCTCAACGAAGCGGCCTTTCAAGTGGAAATTCATGGCAGCCAAATTATGTAAATGCATTTTTCTACATGTGGAGGGGAAAAAACCAGAGGACCCGGAGAAAAAATCCATGCGACCTCGGGGAGAGCACGCAAACTCCGAATATACAAAAGGCGTCAGAGGTTGAGATGGAACCCACAACCTCCTGTATACCAAGCGAGGTAGTTCACATCTCACCACTGTGTCACAAAAATGAAAGGGGACTAGGCAGAGTTTATTTTCTTTTTCAAGGATATAAGTGACTGGTTCCATTAGCTGCTACGTTCACACGTGACAAAGATTAGCTGTCGCAATGTTGCAGTGTAAGGCGGTATGTTGAGATGCCTTACACAGCAGTTGACGTTAAGATACGTCTCAATTGACAATCTAATATTGTCTCCTTGCAACAATTTTATCTGTATCGAAAATGCATTCAGCACTGTTTTTTTTCCCCGCACACCACTAAAACTGCCATAAAGTATATCGCTAAGACATCAGGATTCCAGCACGATGTGCTGATACATTTCTGTGTGTTAAGTTTGCTTCCGGGGAACGATGACACGCACGTGTTCAAATGCCTCGTAATGTACACGATGTCACCCGCATTGATCCTCACAATAGCGTGCAGTGGGAGGTGAATTGAAATGTGTTGAACAGCAAGCAAAATCTGTTCTGGCTAATAATAAACAAGAGGCCTGCTTTGAAAGGTGAAACCGGTTCATGACGCATACACAAGTGCTGAACCTGGAAACGAGAATGTGTCCTCATACCAATTCGGCATATTGCTCTTGCTTAGGCATTGCTGTTAATGGAGTAAGCATATATTGATGTGCTGTACGTATGTACCTTGAACTTCTTTCGCACCGTACGTAGCCAACTTTTATAATTAATTGGTTGGCTACGTACGGCTGGGTGGCACAACGGTTGGGTGTGCGGCTTGTGATTATTTTTAGTGACCTGCTTAGCTTGCCTGTATTTTGCACTCCGATCGTTTTTTTATTGTTTGCTGTTGGAACTTGCTGACTCGCCCCAACTGGACATCTGTGAAAAAAAGAGCTTCATAGCTCATCGGATTCTTCCAGTCCATATAAATATTCTGATAAAAGATACGAAAGTTGTGATTTAAAATCCCAGCCGAGGGTTGACTCGACCCATCATCCCTTCAAGGTTAATAAAATTGGAACAGCTTTGAGATTGTCCTATGGGAAGACTGGCCCCCACTATATAAATGTGTAATTTGCACCGTGGTCTCAGAGCTCTACACAGGAGATGAGCACTGCCCCATGCTCGATTGAGTGAGAAACCAATGTTTGATTGACACATGCCATTATGGATTGGTTTGTGTATCATGAAAGGCCCTCTATTAGAAATGTGTCTGGTGAGACAGTATTTATGATGACCAGCACTCACTTAACCCTTTCACAGCATAGGGAAAATCGTACGTAATCGATAGATATTGAATTAAAAACGGATGTTTGTCAAATCTGCACTCTCTCGTTGCACAGTTTTAAAGGGCATCGCTGGTCTGGTGCTGAATCGATTGCGAGCTTTAACGTAGCATTATCTAAGCACATTGCTGCTTGCAAGTCAGCTGGTGAAAATCTGCACATAACGAGACGAGTAAGAATAGGCTCGCCGGAGGAATACTAATGTGCTTCCGCTTCTCTGTTGTAGCCGTTGAAATGTGCACGCTCACCAAAAGTGTTCCCCATTTATGTATATATATAATAAATAAATATATTATTCCAAAAGGGCATTTTTTTTTTAAGCTTTGTTTCCCTCGGGTAGCCTTTAACATGCATCCTGAATGCAGCTGAGCAGAAAATTTAAATCATTAACGTGACAAATTTACAAAGGCATGCCATTATGTGCCAGCGCAGCGGTTAAATTAGCTGCCCACAATGACAAAAACAATCATCAAGTACACTCGCAGCGTCTGTCCACCGCAGCCAGTATAAGTGGGTACACCGCATTCGATCGGCAGGTTGCGTGCAGTCGAATAAAGTGTGGGTACTCTCTCACCTCGACGCAAAACGTCTGACCAGCATGAAAGAGTCGGCCGTACATCCTCTTGAGCTCACTCTAGAGGAGGCACTTCTGCTAGCAGTAGCGTGAAGAAGTTATTACAGGGCTGCGACTTTACTTATACTTGCAGCAAGGCTCGTGGACAAAAAAAGGATTTGACAAAAGTAAATGGATTCGTTGACAGTTCACATTGTATCTCAGGATCATATGAGAGGTGGCAGCGCCTTGAGGCCTTCATCCAGCAGAGGATTGAACATGGATGTTGATGATGATGCTGGTTTACTGAATGTCTGACAGAACGTGTCAGTCCATGGGCTGCTTCTATCCAAAGGGATGTATTTGCTGTGCATTAGTTTTATGTTCCACTACAGCAAAGCATTTGTTCCATGAATAACACCACAGGGGCACTGTTTAAAAAAACCCAACGCAAACCATCTTTATTTAACCACCACCACCGCATGAAAGCCTGCTTGGAAGGACAGTGAGCCCATGTTTATTTAACACAACCCGACATTTTATAGAATACGCTGAAGCATCGGCCAACTTCAATTTGACTTGCGATGCATGAAGAAAAAACGTGAAGAAAAAAATGCCCTGTAAGGCAATGAAGATGGGGCAAGAGGAAACACTGAATTAATCTCAGTTGCGTAAACAACTGGAGTCCCCTTGGTGTTAGTGCACTGCGTGCGTGGATCCTAACGGTGTGTTCGTTCATTCGTTTCTCAATCCGCTTGTCCTGGTGAGGGTCGCGGCAGCAGCGTGTTGAGTAGGGCGGTCCAGACCTCCGTTTCCCTGGCGACAGACTCTAGCTTTCGCTGGGGAATTCACAGGCCAGCTGATGTACATATAATGTACGTATTCGTTCATTCGTTTCTCAATTCGCTTGTCCTGGTGTCAAGTTATTGGCGCGGTGGCTTGTGCACTGTGCTCCATAAACCTGGCCGCCTGAGTTGAAATCCTGGCCATGGTGAACATCAACAGTGCTGTCTGAACTAGTCCTGGCCATGTCCCTTCACCAATCCTCAATAACCAAAGTATGGTCAAACAACCCCCATGACTGACATGTTATTGGATAAACAAAGGTCTGTAAATGATCATTAATAGCCTAAAGATGCAGTCATGTTGAAACACTATAAATCCAAAGTGTATTATATTGTATAAATTAAATAACAGGGGTTTTTCTGCTATAGGGTTGAACTATATCACTATTTGTTTATCATAGTCAAATTATTGTGATTCCAAATACAAAATATGAATGCTGCAGTCAGTGATATTTATTTGTAATCCTTCTCGTTGTTCTTTTGCAGAAGAAGGAATGGCTGTGCCTTACCTGCCAGACTCAGAGGGCCCTGTCGGGGCAGTTGGTGGACCTTGAGACACCGGACCTTCCAGCCAAACGGCCTCCTCCATCAACCAAGACCAGCCAGGAGTTTCTCCAGCAAAAGGGAGCCCCTCCGGTAGCACAGAAGCCATCGGCCAAGCCCCGGGCAGAGCAGGTCCTGCCAAAACCTCAGCCAACTGAGAAGCCGCTGCTCACGGTGAGCTCCTCGGGACGCACAGATGAGGTGCAACCTTCGCCTCCGCAGGACCGCGTGTGCTCAGCGAAGGACGGTGAAGAGAAAGGGCGTCTAGGCGATACGGAGAGTCCACCGCGGGCAGCAGCGGAGGTCAAGCCGGTGCAGTTGAAGCATCAACCCTCGCTCAAAGATGAAACGTTTGAGAGAGAGCATCACGCTTCTGGTGAAGGACCCACGCTGAAAGATCAGCCGTCCACCGAAGCAAAAGCGGCGGAAGGACAACCGGCGGGACACCCAGGGCCTGAGCCAGTGCTTGCTGAGGAGGCTCGTGCCGACCGCAGAGAGGCTCCCAGCCAAGGGCTGGAGCCTGACGTGCCCTGGCCGGAGACGGTGTCCAAGAGAGCTGAACCGTCCGACCATCTCCACCTTCAGCAGGCGCCAGAGGACACGGAGCTGAGAGAACCACTGATAGAGGTGAGCTAGTGAATATTTGAGGGGAGGTTTGTCACGTGAACAAAACATGCCGAGTAGTTGTTAGCTCAGCGCACCGGTGGTGTTGCAGAGTAAAACTATTGGCTGTGTTGGGTGGCGGCGGGTTTAACGGCACATTTATATTTACGCGATCTAACTAAAAAAAAAAACCTCGTAAGGATAATGTTGGTCACGAAACCCTTCATGTTAAACGAATCTTTGAGGTTTCATTAATTCGAATGTGCAACATTTATTTTATACATGCGCAAGTTAAACAACAACAAAAAACTCTCATCATATTTAGTCATAGATATAAGATAAAGGTACAGCCCTGCAATTGCTTCCTTGTGCCACTGCTGGCATAAGGGGCCTCCATTAAGAGCGAATTCTAGAGAGACTCTGTAGTAGATATTCTCTTCCATACAGGCTAGACCGATTTGAAGAGGCATTTGTTATAGGTGATAAAGTCTCTTCTGAGTTGTGCCTTGGCACACCAATACATTTTCATGTCTTTGTCTAATGATTATAATATTCATAATTGGTTAATGTTCTGATTTAAAGCTTTCGTGACTGCAGGGATTCATATTCTTGGTTCTTTCGGTAAAGTCACGTAGAAGGGAAACAATAAAATAATAACAAAAATATAAAACAATAAAATTCTCACGATGTTTTGACTGCAACACAAGCAATCATCATCAGGTGTGAAAACCACAGCAAGAAAATTTGAAAAAAGTGGCAGTTATTTTTAACGTTAGCACCACGGAGAGCGATTTGACAGTTTGTTCAGATAGACGAGTCCATTAATGTTCAGAAAAGAGGAGGGGGAGACGAAAATAATGGATGCGGTCTGAAAGCCACCGTAAGCGTGAACAATCAATGATTATTTATTATTTTATTGTTTACCTTCTACGTGACATTACCGAAAAAACCTAGAATATGGTTAATGTTCTGTTTATAATTGCAAACGGTTGTTCCACACGTTTTCAAACGGCATTTACAAAGGTGAAACAACTCAACACTATTCGTCAGTAACACATTTGGTGTTCTTAAGGAGGTTAGATAAGTAATTTGGTAATTTGTTGCAACATACAGCTTTCAATTTGAATATTATTAAATAGCTTTTGTATTAAAAATGGAGAGCCTAGTAGGGATGTCTTGATAAAATCGCCGAATGTAAAATTAATTATAGTAATATGTGGAGAGAATACAATTAAAGGTAATTGAAATTACCACAAATGCTTTCTGTTTAATCAATGTTTTGTACTCAAATACAGCACAGATTTTGAAGAATTCAAATTCAACACGGTATTTACGTGGTGTACAATCATGTCAGAATTTATATGTAATAAAATATATATATAATATGACACGTGTGGAGATATTTAATGATAAAAGTGTACAAATATTTACAGCCCAAAGAATGTAAATATGCAGTGTACAAATTAACTTTAACAAAACCGATCGTGCGTAAAGTGGGAAATATTTAACCAGAGGTTATATTTAATTCCATTCCATGAATATGTATGATACAGTATTTGACCGCAGCGCATTTGTATTTAAAATTTCAGCGTTTGGAGTCTCCGTGCATTTTTGACACTGACCAGATGCATGCATCACTTTTGTTAACATTGCCATCATTAAGCTTCATATAAGGCAAATAAGTTATTACTTTTCGAAGAAAGAAATGTTATTACAGTATTCCCATAAGCGTTTCAGGTCTTTCCATAAAATATACCATTTTCAAAAGGGCTTGTAGTTGCCATGAATCATATAACCGGGTCTTTCGACCCTCATTATGTTTTTATCAGGAACGAATAATTTTTATTTGAGGGATTTCACTCGCGCATGTCTTTTACGTATCTGACCCAATTTTCAATGCGGTGACTTGTCATGAGGGCAAACCCATCATGCTTAAACGTTTCACTCGCAAATAGCCTTTTAGTGCAGACTCCTACGTAAGGATGTTCAAGTTTTTGTACCGATATTTTTGCTTTAGATTGCTTTTCCAAAATGTATTTTTATTTTTGTATCAGTCACAATATTTACTCATAATTATAAAAGGTTGAACGTCCAGCTCTATGCTTGCTCACGTCACTGCTATTTCTCAGCTCACGAGAGTACCCCCTCTGAAGCGTTTTGGCTTACTCCTCCGCCGTTGGCCAGATGTCTTTGAAGCGGTATGAGTATCCACACTTTACCCCACCACATGCGACCTATTGGTTGACCGTCGTGTACCCATTTATACTTCCTGGGTGGACGCAGGTGGGCGGACTTTAAAATCTTGCCGCGAAGGAATCAAACCAGAAACCTCACTACTCTTTAGTCCACTCTGGTGACCAATTACACCATGGCAGCATCCCATTGATATTTGTATCACACTTTAATCCTGCATCATATAAACAAAGGTTTACTAAATGAATCTTGAGTAACGTGTCTCCTACAAGGCCAACATTTCAGAAAATATTGTCCATGTATAACAAAGTCCAAGATGGCTGCAAATAATCCACGGTGGCTGTCCTAACATGGCAAACATTGCATATGTTAGGTCATAATTGATGTAACATAAATCTGCTTTGGTAGAAATCAGAAATTTACAAAAGAGAATATACAACTTTTTGATTTATCAAACGAAATATCATCTAGCTATAGTATCTTTTTTATATGTAACGTTTTTTTGCTATTGATTTCCATTCATGCAGCTGGCAAAATATGAAACGCAACTTGCTGTTGGTACCAACATTGCCATTCATCACGTAAAGGCTTATGGCCGCATATACAGTATCTATTACGAATATTATTACAACCAATTTCTTTCTAAATGATTGGTTTTTTTTGTCTTGCAGAAAGCAATACTTAAAGATGAAACCGAGACTGTGGAGGAACAGGCTTTGCTTGTCATTCCCTTAAAAGATGGAGAAGTGGCTGCAGATCGTGATGGTAAGAAGGAAGAGAAGTCTATCTCTGCACAGGAAAGTCCCGCCAGCCCGTCAGAACTGGAGAAATTGGAAAGCACGGTCCGGTCGCTTTTGGAGGCCAACCCGATCGACTTGGAGGGCGAAGAGCAGGCGGCAAAGAAAGATCCTTACGGATTATTCGAAGAAAAGGATCGAGAGAAGAAGCAGCGGCCAAAGATGCTCACCGTCACTCCAGAGGGCTACAGCTCGGATGAGGAGGATCTGGAGGACATCCAGGAGGAGGACGAAGATGCGGTCAATGAAGAGGGCGCAGCGAAGGTCGTTTCCGACGCGCGGCGTGGAGGTGGCGTCGAGTCCCGGGACGAGGCGTCGGCCAAGCACCGGCGACGGGACTCCGTGGAGGACAGCGGTGGCAGCACGCCGTCGCCCCTTCGGCACCGGAAGCAGCTCGTCAGCCTGGGGTCGCCCAGCAGCGAGGAAGGGCAGAGGGATCGCAGCGACAGCTCCTGCTCGCTGGACGACGAGGAATTCATCCGACAGCAGATCATCGAGATGAGCGCGGATGAAGAGGCGTCGGGCTCCGACGGCGACGACGACGACGAGGAGGACATGTTCAAGAGGCGGCTGAAAAAGGCCATGACCAAGGAAGACCACCGCCAGCAACGGCAACAGCAGGAGCAGCAGCAACCGCAGGAGCAGCAGCAACCGCAGGAGCAACAGCAGCAGGAGCAGCAGCAGGAACAGCAGCAGGAACAGCAGCAGGAACAGCAGCAGGAGCAGGACAAAGCACAGACAAAAGACAAAGCCAAGCAGAAGCAGTTGCTTAGAAAGGAGAGCTCGAGCTACGAAGAAATTCACTACGAGGAACTGGAGGAGGAGGAGGCATCGCGGCGGCATTCATGGCACGAGGATGACGAAATGTTTGACGACAGCCCCGAAAGCAAATTTAGAGAGTCAAAGAGTCAGGATAACGAGGAAGATGTCTCCATAGTGACAGGCGGTCTGCGGCGCTTTAAGACAATTGACCTGAAAAGTTCACTTCCTCATAAATACGTCGCCGAGGAGCAGGGGGAACAGGGGTACGAGAACAGCGTATTTTACGACGAGCCTGAGCTCGAGATGGAGAGCCTCACGGACTCTCCCGAGGACAGGTCGCGAGGGGAGGGCTCGTCCAGCGCACAGGCGGCCACCAACTTCACGCCGGGCACCTCTCCGAGCTCCGTCTCGTCCCTGGAAGACGACAGCGACAGCAGTCCCAGCCGGAGGAGAGCGCTCGACGACCCGAAGCAACACCGCAAGACTCGGCACAGGTCGAGCGGGCCGCTGCTGCCGACGATCGAGGACTCTTCGGAGGAGGAGGAGCTGAGGGAGGAGGAGGATCAACTGAGAGAGCAGGAGAAGCTGCGCGAGCTGGAGCTGCAGCAGAGGAAGAGTTCAGGCAGGAAGTCGAAGCGCGATAAGGAGGAGCTGCGCGCCCAGAGGAGGCACTCAAAGACATCGCCCAGTAACCTGTCTCCCATCGAAGACGCATCCCCCACAGAGGAGCTCCGACAGGCAGCCGAAATGGAGGAGATGCATCGGTCTTCTTGCTCGGAGTATTCCCCGAGCCTCGAATCAGATCCGGAAAGCTTTGAGGTCCAGGCAGCAAAAATAATGGAGCTTCAGCGGGAATATGATCTGCCTACCGGCGTAGGTTTCACATTTCCTTCATATTCCAGACTGGAGCAATCCCAGGTAGAAGACAAAGACATTTTAGATGACGACATTTCAGTGGCTGAACATGAAGAGCTGAAGACAGCGGAGGAGGTGTATGAGGAAATGATGAGAAATGCCCAAATGCACGGGAGCCACGCGTCAGAACCTGCTTCAAAAGAGAGTCAAGATTTTGACGATGAACAATATAGTTTCTACAGGCATGAGGCCACTGTGTTTGATGACTTGCCATATGCAACCATACTAGAGTCCCGAACCGAACTTCTAACATTTACGACAGACGAGTCAGCCGCTGCGTCCGCGTACGAGGATGTCATGTATATGGAACCGGTGGGCAGGTTGGACACAGACCAACCGATGTACACTCCGGACGACATTTACGCTTTTGCCGAACCTCTGCCACCTCCGCCCACGGACATGTCCTTCTCCGGCTCGGAACAGCTGCTGGACGCAGACGCAGCCTACGAGGAGCTTCTCCGAAAGCATAACGTGATCCTGACTCCGGGCACGAGCCCCACCCAGCATCTCTCGGACGCCTCCGTGGGCATCACGTATCCCGAGATCAGCAGCGACGACATCAGCAGCGACGACATATCCGTGTTCGCTGCAACTGCTGTGGAGACATCCACGGAGAGCGCCTTCACGGACATTGCGGCCGATTTCAGCTCGCTGGCAACCGGCGACGCCGACCCGCTGGCTTCGTACGACTTCAGTCCCGTGCTGCCGTCACCCCTGTTTTCGGTGCCGGATGTGACGATAACGCAGCATTTCACACCGGAAGACGATTCGGATCTGCCAAGTGATGGCGAGTTTGTGGACGATGAGTTGGTTCAACCTCCTGAAACGGTGGCGATCACTGACGGCGTAGTGATAACAGCGGCTGCCGAAGAAAACGTGGCTGCAGACTTCTCGTCTGCCTTTGTGGAACCTGTTGAATTTGGAAGTGGATCCTTTGGGATGGATTCGTTTTTGGCAGGCGCGGCTCTTGCTTCGGTGGACGCAACGGGCACGTCGGTTTCGGCAGCACCCGCAGATGACGCTTCGATGGTTGACTTTGTCTTCGCTTCGTCACGAGATGACTTCATTCCGGAAATGATAGGCGAGATTCCTGACGTCCCTATGAACGACGAATATTCAGAACTCGCTGAGCCGTGCCGTCAGGAGGAGATAGCAATTAGTGCCGGAGAAAACATTATAGAACTGCCCGAAATAGATTTATCCATCTCATATGTAGACACTGAAACAAATGTACCCACCGATTCACAAATATATGAGACTCCCACTGCGGAACCCGTGCTTGGAACAACAGCAGCCAGCGCTGATAATGATGCGGTATTGGTGAAGCTTGCTGATGAAGCTGCTCTCCCAGTGCATACCGATGTACAAGCAGCACATTCACAAGACTCCGTCCTTTCTGAAGTTTCTCCGAGTGCAGCTGCTGCTGTTGTTTCCGAACCAGTCGTGCTGTCACCTACCATAGTGACAGCTTCAGCAGAGCCCAGTGCATCGCAGCAGGAGCCTGCCCTGCCACCGGTTACGAGCGCACCTGACGATAAACACGACACCACTACAGGAATGACGTACTTCACCTCGAAGGTGTTCTCCTACTTTAGAGGCACCACACAGGAACCAGACTTTCAGATGCCACCTCCATCACCACCACCACCACCGCCGCCGCCGCTGCCGCCACCTCCACCACCACCGCCGCCACCACCTCCGCCACCACCGCCACCACTGCCACGCAAACCTATGATGCTTTTGAAGAAAGAACTGACCAAAGTTCCTCCAGTTGAACCCACTGCACCGAGTGTGGTGACCACCACGGTTTCCGTATCGTCGACTTTCACCGCCGCTTCGTCAGCACCGGTAATCACCTCTGACACCACGGTCACACAAACTGTAACGACAACAACAGCCTCGACACGCCCTCAAGTTGCACCAAAGCCAACGCACTTCCCAGTGAGCCTCGTCACAGCCAAACCTCTGCCACCTCCCGTGGCGCCGAAACCTACACCCTCCCCGCACACGGCAAAGCTGAGCAAAAGCTACGAACATCAGTTGGAAACCCAGCAGGTTGTGGTGACATCCGGACCTGGCAGCCGGTCATCATCGCCGGTTACCTCCCCTGTATCTCCTAGGTCGCCGAAGAGGTATTCTCTGGCTCAGGAGTCATATGTGGTCATTACTCTGCCCTCAGACGACAGCCCGACGGGCAAAGAAGTGTACACGTCCCCAGCTCTGCTGACGTCAACAACGTCGAGCAAAATGTCGAGGTCGCCGAGCGTTCCTGATGTGCAACTGACACAAGCTACACCGCCGGAGCTCATGCCAAAGTCACTGAGCATGGACTCGGCCATGCAGGAGGAGCTGGAGCCCCTGGCACCTGCAGAGCCGTTGATTTGCTTCGCACAAACAGCCACCACCACGACCGTCACCGTAGCCCAGAACGTTGATTTTGCACCTCTCTCTGGCCCCTGTGGTGAACTCAAAGAACCTTATGGAACTTTAGAGACACGGTTACCCACTCCTGTGAGTGAAAGCGCTACTATTGTCACATCAGGAGAAATAGCTGTTGTTAGCAGCAGCAGCAGCAGCAATGTGATGGATCTGACCATGAAAAATGAAATGTCTCCCCCCGCTATCGTAATGACCGACCATGGCCTAGATTTTACAGTAGCAGCATTGCAGAGCAGAATGCAGTCGGAGCAGAGTGGACAAATTGTCCAAAAGTTGCAGACGGTCATACAGCCCAAAATTATTAACCTTGCGACAACAGATGCAACTGCCGCCCCTTTGGAACAGTCGGAATCGAAGGCAAGGCAAGAGAAGCCTGCGAAAGACCTCACAGATGAGCCGCTTGACCTGGCTCACCCAGCATTGGCTCTCCACCACTTTAAGCCCATGGGGGACGCTGCTTACGCGGCCTACGAGGAGCCCATGTCCGAGGGCCCGGTTAACTTGACGATCTCGCAGCAGCCGGTGAAAATCGCGACGAAGACGACGGAGGATGCGCCCAAGATGCTCCCACCGGAGCCGTCAACCTGCGAGGCCGCGGTCGACCTCAGCAAGCCCAAGTCGTTGGGCGTCATCGTGTCCCTGGGCGACACGGAGTCGAGCCCCACGTCGGTTTTGGCGGACGAGTCGAGGCCCGTCGATCTGACGCAGGGGAGTCGCCGAGCCGCGTGCTGCGATGTCGTGTACAACATCCCCTTCGTGGGCATGTGCGCTCCATCTCCGCCGAAGACGTCCCCCGACGTGGCCGTCGCGGGGCGGAGCCTGGCCGACGCCGGAGCCGTCGGCTACGGGGACGACGATTACGTCGACGTGAGGTCGCGAGCGTCCGCCGAGTATGGGCACGTGCGAGCGTCCACGTCCGACGCCGGCTTGACGGACACAGCGGGCCCGCTGTCGTACCGGAGCGAGGCCGCGATCGATCAGCACGTGCCGGCAGATATCGCCGCAGACCATTCCGCGCGAGAGATGACAAGTGGGTATCAATTGTATTGTGGGGATTTTGCGTGAGATATGCTTTCTTAAAAAAAGAATGAACAATCAATCAATGCGCGTATATTAATCCAAGTGTCCGAAGTGAATTTGACCGCTTGTTGAATGTTTTCGCGTTGGGGGATGTTGATAAGCAAAACGCTGCTTTGAAACTCATGTTGAGCAATATGTATCAGGCACAATGGAGCATTGTGTGAAATGCAACTTTGTTCACACTTGAGTGAACCCATATAATTTAGCCACAAATTTCCCCGAGCTTTGTACCTTAACTCGGTATAATTATGCGGCAATTTACGCCGCACGCGCACACAAACTGGTGAAAGTTTACACTTTCAGTTTTAACGTGCGTCGATGTACAATACTTTAAGTCGACTTCGAAATCGGCTGTTTTCATGACCAATTAATGTTGGCAATATTTGACAACAACAACAATGTACATTTATAACAAAGGTTATGGTCGCGATATAGAGTGCATAAATGCACACGGGGTGGGAGGTACCAAGCGAGGCAAGCAGAGAAAGCGGAGAAAGCAGGTGGCATGAAAACCTCTCAGATAAATGGAATGAAAACCAAAGAGATCACCGACTCCTCTGTTAAACCCCTCACCGGACTTATTCGACGTGCCTTTGAAAGGATCAGCAGCTTTGCTGTCACTTTTGGCAGGATGCGTGAAGCCTCACCACGGTGAGAACACTGCATTAAGTGTGATCCTTGGGCTTCATCACAACCGGAGACCATTCTGTGTGCTTTCGGTGAACATCCTCAGGCACTTAAATCATCAAACTCTGAATATACGTTCGCAGCCACCAGAGTGAGTTGCAAGAAATTTTACCTTGGATTAGAAACACACTCATTCGTGGGTAAGGGTGCTCTGATAATTGAATGTAATTTAGTCCACTCTGGTGACTCACCACTGTGGTTGTTATTTATTCTATCACAGCTGACCAAAGTATTGATGTGAAATAACACCCGCGATCTTCACAAGCTAGCCATCATGAACGGGAGACAAAGGGGGAGAGGAGAAACCACTGCGGAGATGGGAGCGATGAGATCCGCTCGCGTGCAGGGGCAGTCGCGAGATGGATTGTGGCATCACGGGACCATGTGGGATGGTGATGACATGAGGGAGGCCTTCATGAAGCAGTGGATAGACCATAGCCGGTGATCAATTTGAATGAGCACAGATGCATTGGTGGCGATTAGTGCCAATGTTAACGTGTATGTGTCCAGTAGAACCCCTTTTAACGACGGTAATTGGTTCCACAAAACCAGTCAAGTGATTTGGTCGTTAAGCGAGTGGATGTTTCCACTTCAAAGCGTAGCAGACACTGAATGTAAAAAATGCCCCAACGCTCATGAATGGACGTCGCCGATTGGCCGAGGCCTGGTCAGACCACTTTGGAGCTCGCCGATTGGCCGAAATTGGCGGTCGCGTGCTCGTCGTAAGCCCGTCGTTAACAGGGGAATGGTCGGTAAGCGAACACATTGGGTTCTATGGAGGTACTACACTACTATACACTACACTATACACTACTATACACTACACATTGGGCTCTATGGAGGCCCGTCGTGAAACGATGAGTCGTTAACATGGCTAATCGGAGGTCCAGGGGGGAAAGGACAACAAACTAAAGTTATCCCATATTGTAGCTGCTTTAAATGCCCTGATAGTGGCATTGTCTTTGTGCTGTTCGCCTTTTGGAGTTCTCTGGTCGAACACTGGTTGAGACTAGGCTCTCAAGAAAGCTGTCTCTGGTCTGGAACAATCAGTTTCAAAGACAATGCCATACATTACCAGAGCGTGTTGTTTGTTTGCATGTTCACCACAAGTATCTGTGGCTAATGCAGACATGATTCCTTGCAAAAGGTTTCAGTTTGGTGTTTTAACATGTTAACACAAACTGTTTTATTGCCAGAAAGGGCAAAACCTACTCTTATAACGTAATTGCCATTACATCTTTTGCCAGGCGGGGTGATGGAGCAGAGCAGCCTCTTCTCGTACGTGACAGCAGGGAGTCAAGAAGTGACTGCCAGCGCCTTGTCCTCCACCACTCAGCCACTGTGGACTCAATATTCAAGCATGTGGAGGTCAACAGACGGAGTAATTTATTCCACAGTGCAAACTCCCATCCCGGCCACTCTACCTATTACCACCCAGCCGAGCTCTATACGCGACCAACTTCAGGGAGACGTTTACCTATCGGGAGTGACTGCGGTGTTTACTGGCGGGTCGACCCTGCTGCCAATCCAGCAGACGATCGCGGAAGTCGCCAGTGCCGTCGCCATGCCCCTGGGTTCATCCTCCTCCGTTCTGACTTCAATCGCGGCCGAGCGGCGGTCTCTGCTGATGGACGGGACACTGGGTGGCCAGGCGATGTGGCAAGGGGAGGAGGAGCGAGCGACGCAGCAGCAGGACAGACTGAAGCTGCAGCACGGCCACATGCTGGAGATGGACACGCTGAAGCAGCTGGAGGAGCTCGAGCGCGAACGCTTGGAGATGCAGAGGCGGAGCGAGGAGGAGCGGCGCCTCATGCAGCTGGAGCTCGAGGAGCTGCAGAGCATGCGGCAGCAGCTGTACCAGCAGCAGCAGCACGACGAGAGGCAGGCGCACTTCATCATGCAGCAGGAGCAGCTCGCGCAGCAGATACACCAGCTGCAGCAGCGGCTGCAGCAGCAGCTTGAGGAACAGCAGCACCAGCAGGGTCAGGGGTACAGCTACCCGTACGAAATCGCCGTCACGGAAGTTTCCTCTGCTGCCGATGGGCAGTTCTGGCAGGAGGGACTCGGCCAACAGTTTGTTTCACAGGAGCCGATTCGGCTGCTCGGTCCAGAGGCTAAGAATCAGCAGGGCACCTTTAGGTTTGCGCAGGAAGGTATGTCTACCCTCGAGATGCACCGCACCATGGTGAGCTCGGTCTCCGACATGTCCCTCAAAGACATGGGCCTCAGAAAAGGAGACATCCTCCGCAAAGAGCAGTCCATGCCTCGCCTGCCCGCTCAGTACGAAAAGCAATCGCAAGACGGGAGGTACAGGCCTCAGAGGATCGTGGACAGCGGCGTGCAGACCGACGAAGAGGATGAAGGGAGCCAGTGGTACGGCGGCCGCCGAAAGAGAACCTCCAGGAGCGTGGACACCAGCGTCCAGACGGACGACGAGGACATGGACGATTGGGATTACTCGTCACGGAGGAGGCGCCCGAGGCTTCCGAAATACGAAGGAGGCGTCGAGGCTGAACATTTCAAAAAGAAAACCAAGCACATGGCCAGCATCGGCATTCAGATGACCTCCAATTGCTCTGTTCAGACCGAGATCGACGACACGGTCATCACCCCATCGCAGAGGTCCCGTTCGGCCTCGGGCTACCCGACCATGTCCGACATTTCGGCCACCGAAGAAACATTTCACGGGGAGAGCCTCGCCTGCCAGACGGACACGGAGTGTGACCAGCGGCAGCACGAAGCGGACCCCCTGCCGACGGGTGGCCTGAAGCCCTCGGGCTACTCGTCTCACCTGCAGACGGGAACGGCCACTCCGATGTCGCGCTCGCCGCCCAAATCTCCGCAGGTGCTGCACTCGCCCATCTCGCCGCTCACATCGGGGAAGATGCTGGACTCCCCTGTGTCCCCCTACGATCGCTCGGCCAAAGCGTCCGGCTCCGTGACTCCGCCGCCGCAGCACCCACAGAGCCTGCGCATGACCAAGCCCATGCAGCGCTCAATGTCAGATCCCAAGCCTCTGAGTCCCACGGGCGAGGATGGAAAGACGTCCTACCAGCTGTTTCAGCAGCAGCAGAGCTGCCTGGTAAGTTTGTTATTTATCTGCATGTGTTTTTTTTTACTTTGAAATATTGTTGTTGATTATTTGTTCGTGGTGGTGCAAATCATTTGGTGGAATTAATCCACGAGTTGCATGGAAGTTGAACTTTAGTTTTAGTGAAAAGAGCAGGGCATCTTGCCTAAATGTTTATTTTATTTTTATTAGCACTCCATATGTGAAGTTAGTTTAGTTAAATTTACTTTACCAGGTGAGAACTCAAGAGACCAGTATTAACCTAGTTTGCAAGAGTGAAAGCAGTATTGCAATTATGAATACAACTAAATGTGTCAAGGACAACAAAGCTAAATTCTAACAATAACGTTCAAGGAGAAAGCAAAAAAACTGCATGTAAATATATCACCGTTAATTACAATAAATGTTCTTAACACTTAGCAGTGTCCCAGCATATGCGTACATTATGTGGCATAATAAAGCCATTGCAGAGTATGGTACATTTCTTTCTCGGACAGAGTTTTTAACAATCAAATTTCAAAAACTCTTGTGCAGTGACTAAGAAATACAGGAGCACATTACGATCTCCTTGGCTTTTTCAACGCTGCTCTTGTCGCTGACATCCATGCATGTCATTCCATGAGCTCGATCAGAAAAGTTCATCCAGATAGCAAAGAATTTCCCACGCGATGTGAAATGTCAGTCCAACAGAGCACGCAGATTCTGCCACGCGTTTCTCACCAGCATGACTTCCGCAGCTTGGATCCATTGATTATTTTTATTATTATTTTATTACACACCATTGTGATTACATTTCTTTACCACGGGAAGTCTCATTGAGTCTCATGGCTGTCTTTCAGGAGGGTCATACCAAGTTTTCGCAGTGGCAGGCAATGATTGCTCTGTACGTTTTTCAACTGAGTAATCCGCGGGTCATTTATTTATTCGTCAATATTTGGACCATGAGGCCGGCACATAAGCGGCCTTCTCTTGCGAATGACATCACGAGATTTACGTTATGAGACCTCCTTTGCCAGTAACAAGATATAGTAATAGGTTTTACCCTTTTAACTGGCACAAAAAACTGACACCTTTATTCAAGGCATCATGTCTGCAATAACTGCAGCACAAGCAGTCAAAATGCAAACAAAAGACAACTCTGATAATAACATGCACTGTCCTTGAATTTGATTGGTCCACACCCGAGACGGCTTTCTTTATAGCCTTTTGGCGTCTTCTGGTCCAACACCAATGGAGACTAGGCTCTAAAGAAAGCCGTCTCCGGTGTGGACCAATCAAATTCAAGGACAGTGCATATTATTATTATCAGAGTTGTCTCTTTTGTTTGCATTTTGAATGCTTGTGTTGCGGTTATTGCAGACATGATGCCTTGAATAAAGGTGTCAGTTTTTTGTGCCAGTTTAAAGGGTAAAACCTATTACTATATCACAGGATTGTTAACGTCCACTTTGATGCAGACAACGATGCATAGTATTTCTTTATGGTCAATGCTCTCGCGGTATTTATCAGGGCGGCCTCCCGAATTCGAATTGTGATCCCTCTGCAAAAAGCGGCGAACGCGCCACCGTTGGGCCGTGCCAGCGCCCATGGTTTTCACCCACGCGTGGTCATCTGTAACATTAGAGCTGTGGCTATTCCAATAAATAATTCTCACCGTTACTTAAATACTTGAGAGATTTCTACAGGGTATAACAGCCATTTAATTGCTCCTTTTTTTTACGAGTTTCTAACAAGTGCTTGTTTACATTTTTTGTAAAAAAAATAGGTCACGTGTTATTATTGTCGTCATTTCTATTTAAACTCAAAGACGATTGTTTATAGAGTTGGACACTGAAGCCAGTGTTCCCAGAGGACTCTGAAACTCAGCACAGATATCCTGTGTCTAATCCTGCGGCTGATCTACAAGGCTCTCAATGGGTTAGCCCCACCAATATCTGCAGGGACGATCTCTGTTTACTCTCCAACGAGCTCCCTGAGATCTTAGGATCGCCTTCCTCTAAGGAATCTAAGGTGAAGGCTAATTTCCCGGGGTGATCGGCTTTTTGCCAGTGCAGCTCCCAGACGATGGAATGCATTTCCTAAGGTAATAAGAACGATCAGAGTCATTAAAGCCTTTTAAGTCTGTCTTGAATACTAACCGCTTTAAATTGGCCTTTACTCCCTAGCTTTTACCCTGATTCTGTTTATTTCCTGCTTTCCATAGATAGCGCATTGGGATCCAGCTGCATTACAAATGTAGTTAATTATTATTAAACATTCTTGCTATGCTGCTGCCTTCAAAGGAATCATGTTAGTTAGCAGGCAGATGTTTTATGGACATCACGGCCCTTGATAGAACCGGTGATTCACGACTCATTTATGTATGATCTGTGAGTCAGCCTGCAAGTCACTGGATTACAGGCAAAGACTATGAGGACAAGGATCGTGCAGCCTGCGCTCAATAATATATGAATGCTGTGTTTGTTGTGTTGAATATGTTGAGTGTTAAGGTAAACTACAGCATTCGGTCTTCCATTTGTAAATCTCCCTCGCAGATGCAACGGCGCTTCTTGGAGTCCGGGATGGGTGTTAAAGCCCGGGGTTAGTGTTTGATGAGAGCCGAATGCAGTGTAATAAAAGTATAACGGGGTATAAGGGGATAGTCAAGTGATGCTAGCTGATGATAACTAGTGTGTTATTATAATCGGTGTTTTTCATGGCAGTTAAATTCAGTTTAATACGTAGGCTTTCGCGACCAGTTATCATTCATAATGAATGTTTTTTTGGGGGTTAGATCGCGTAAATATATACATGTGTCGCAACCCTCCACCACCCGACACGGCCAATTGGTTAAATTCAGCCAGCAGTTATTTTTGTTACTCCAGTTTCCTTCCATTCACCATCAACAGCAGCAAGAGCAGCAGCCATGATCTATATCATGATCTATACCATGATCTATATCATGATCTATATCATGATCTCTATCATGGCTGCTGTGCAGCTCCAGGACCATTGCCTCTGACAAATAAGGCAATCAGAATCTTTAGAGCTATTTAAAGCTGCCCTGAAAACTCACCTCCTTAAATTGGCCTTCTCCCAATGCTTTTGATCTTTTAACGCTGCTGGCTCTGTCTTATTTCCTGCTTTCCATACACGGTGGTGCATTGGGATCCCCTAAATGAAATGCCCCTTACAAAATATGATTAATTATTATTTTATATCCACTGTCAAATGAAGGCCCTCCCTACACCATCGCCAACCCCTCACAACACCTTAACTCACCTCTTCTGCCTTTGAGCCCGAGCCCGGTCTCCATGTTCATGGTGACCGTTCTCATGGTCACAGCTCACTCACTTCCTTGCCGGGCGATACGATGCTTATCATTTCCATTTGCTCCCTCGTCCACGTGTTTCGTTTTCTGTCTCTCAGTGTGAGTCTGAGCAGGCGTCTCTCGTCGCTTCTTTGTGCAATGTGTACAGGTTTGAGCCTTTGCTCTGTAGGCACATTCGTATGTTTCCTTTTCATTATCAAGGGGACAAAATGAGAGGATTCTCGGCACACGGTATGAACGTGGCTAGAAGCCAGTTCATAATTTAGTCAGCATTGTATATTCTGGTCACAGTCTTCGTATAGACGAGGACAATTTGGGGGGATTTGAGTCCAGTCATAGTCTGTGGATGTCACATAGTCGTTCTCTTACGCGCGTGTAGCAGCCATAAATCTTAATCCACTCTTCGTCGTGAAATGTTGGTTGGAGTGAGGAGGCGTGCAATTTTGTCTACCCCAATATCACCACGTCAGCCAATGAGTGAACCCAGTAAATCTTGTTTATTTACACCGATCTAGTCAATCACAAAGTTTGGTATTCATCGGTGCACTGCAGTCTCTAAACACACCGCAAAATTACTTTCATCTGCATCTTCAATCAGACTCATTATTTTTGATCTCATCATTGGTATGCTTGGGTTTCTCGTGGGTATTTGTAGTTATTGTCATGGATCATGATTTTCTATCAATCATACTCACATTTGGTAAAGAAAATAAGTGACAAATATTTTTTGTCACATATTTTCTTTACCAAATGAACGTTGCTAGAAATACCACGGATTTCTTTGTGGAGATTTTACATTTTTAAATAGTTATAATAAGTTGCAACAATTTGTACCCACAAGGTTTGACCTGCACGGCAATAAATAAGATAAATAATAAACGTCAGCATGTTGAAAAATAATAATATGGCACCACAATGTCACTTTCCACAGCTAAAACATTCAACAATGCTAGTTGAATTATACCATAATTATATATATATATTTTGTATTTACTCAAGAGGTTTAACAATTATTTGCAAAAAAAAATTCATTGCATTTTTAAAGCATGTTACTTTCAATTACAGTACCATTTATGATCACACATCCTTCCAATCTTTTTTTAGATTTGTCGTAATTTTTTGTATTATCATGGGAGAGAGATGGTTTGCTGTGACGCCTGCAAAATGTTTGATTCTCAGCCACGGCTAACGTCAGTGGCACGTCAAACCTGAACCGGTCGTTCCTTCTCCTCACACCGAGCAGCACCGTGAAGTAGATCAAACAGCCCCCGATGACTGACGCAATGTTGGGATGGCCATTTTATCCTCCAGTGGAAATTAAATTGAGCTGTAAAATTAAGTTTAGTGAATTTTAGCGGCTAATTTATAGCTCTCGTGAACGTTGTCGTACGCACCTAAAATGTGTAATTTTCTCACTGCAGGCATTTAAGAAGTTCTTCAATGTCAGTGGCCATGTATACAGGAGCATATCTCGAGCCCTACAGAGGCTGTATAGTCACTGCTAAGCTATAATAAGAGAGCCAATCTTGCAGCTTCATTCTAATATTAATATAGCCTTGGGAAATTGATGCAAATAACAGGGAGCATCAATATGAAAATATTGATGCTCCCTGTTGTATAAGCAATACATATACTTTACAATCGCATATACTGTATATTGAAACCAATTAAATAATTTAAATGTAGGAAGATAATTCAACAA